GTACACGGATGACACCTGCCTGAGTGACAGAGAAGCTAAAGAGATGTTTTGCTGGACCTCATACCCTCCTGCAAGGAGGGGTTTATGGGGTATGTGAAAGTCAAAGGTTGTCTTGGCTGCAGTGACCATGGGATAGTGGAGTTCAGGATTCCAAGGGCAAGGAGGAAGGTAAGAAGCAAGCTCACAACCCTCAACTTTACATGAGCAGATTCTGGACTCTTCAAACATATGCTTGGAAAAGTCCCACAAGGTAAGGCCCTGAAGAGAAAAGGGTCTCAAATGCTGGTTATTGTTCAAGGATCATCACCATATGGCTGTGGAGTCTCCATCCTTGGAGATACTGAAAAGGTGTCACAACATGGTACAGGGTAACTGGTTTTGGGTGTCCCCCGTGCTTGAGCAGAGGGGGTTGGACAAGATGACCTTCAGAGGTCCCTTCCAGCCTCAACCACTCTCTGGTCTCAAGGGCTTTAGGCTTGCACAGTTGTGAGGGGTCAGCTGTTTGCCCAGAGCAGCTCATCAGTTCTTCAGGCAGCAAACAGGGGTGGGGGGGGGAAGGGAATGATGACCAAACCTGCCATTATGTAATGTCTCACTGCTGATCTCCTAAAAGCAACACATGGAGAATATGATGCACTTCCCCCATCACCCACAGGGCCTGGTGTAAATCGATGGTAAAGAGAAGGAAGTTGCTCTGAGGAAAATAAAGATCACAAAGTATGAATGAGCAGTAATTTCATCAAACAGTGCTAGAGGCCTGCAAGCTTATAAAAATGAACTCTCTACATGCAAGGGCCAACAGGCATTTGGATTCTAAAGCATCAAGCACCACCTTTTGCACCTACAATCCCCTGAAACCAAGTAAATGCAATGCCTCTATGGGCAAAGGCACAGAAACAGGCTTCAGCAGTGGTTCTCTTTGTCTTTCGGCAGTAGTTGGTCATTAACATAAATGAAGAGCAATAAAACCAAACAAGTTTATACCCAGTTCAACACCCGCATCCAAAAAACATGTTACTACAATGGCTTGATTCCTCTTGACACCAACAAAAAAGAATGATCTGAAAGCCTAAATGCTCACCAAGCACTTTGCAGATTCTGACTGGCTTCAGGGTAAATTATCAGTGATTACCACTAACATCAGGATACAGCGTAAGGCACTAAAAAGAGACAATTATGAGGAATTACCTGCTATTGAAACAATGGATCAATTATGAGGTACAGCATAGTAGCTGCAGAGCAGCATTCTTAGGCTCTGAGGGTACTGTCTCCTCTTTCTCATCAACCAGAGAGAACCCACAGTTATAAAAGCTTAATTATCCTCCAGGAGCTGGTGCTTGCTGACTAATTAGCCTCTTGTTGAAACAATATGGAAAAGATGGTAATTCCAACTGTCTGCAAAAACAGCATGGCACAGATGTGGTCCTGGCTCTTCCCTAAATGCTGGTCTCTCCTGCCTAACAAGTATAAATATAACAGTCTTGATAGCCTCTGTTCCGGAAAACCTAAAAAGAACAGTCCTCAACCTAAAATAAACCTATGGAAGGAAACTCTGGGAGGTGCAGGGAGCTGATAAAGAGAGAATAGTATATCTGAGGCAGCATGTAGGGACAGCTGGAGTTCTCCTTTCGCTGCTTCCACTGGTGCAAAGCCACCCTTTTCTCCTATCAGTGCAAGTATGCAAATGCAAGAAAGCATTTGCAGTGCTTTCGTAAATGGAGACTAAGCTGCATTTGCTGGTCATGTTAGTACAGCAGCTGCATCCTTAAAGCTTTTCAGCTGCATGGCAGCAGTTAAACCCCAAGGTTTACTGTCAAAATTGTTAGGAAGGTAAAGGTTGAAGTCTTTGGGAGCCAAGTTCTTGGCTGACAGATGACTGTAGTCAAGAGCCACCCCAGCCAAGAAACAGGATCTTGCTGTATATGGCAAAATACCACCAAAAAGGTGCAAAAGCCTCTGGCAAATGGGTTTATCCAGCACCTCCCATCATCCTGGTAAAGAAAATGTTTGATGTCTGGGCTGATGAGCAAAACGGAATATCTGCAGTAACATGTTGCTCATGAGTGAGCTTTTAGATGAGTTTACTGCATAGCAAGTGCAAATACCCATTCTGGTTAATAAATCAGTGTTGACAATACTTGCAGTTTGCAAACACACAGGAAAGGATCATTTCAGACCATGTGTGTTTCATGCTGGGATGAGAGACACCTGAGATTTTCCTCCCACCTCAATGACTTCACCTTCTGGTTTTGGCATGTGAAAACAGATATTGTTGTATACTGAATTATCAAAGCAACTAATCTCTATTCTTATTCAACCAAAATTCCCCTTGAAATCCACCTCCTCGATGGAAATCTGTCTGCGTTTCCTGCTGCTTCATCAGAGTAGCCTCGTGACAACTACTTGGGTTTGTACCTCCTGTAGTGCCACAAAGTCAAAGGAGCAAAGGGAGACAGCCACAGTTTGTTCCTGGACAGGTTAGCTCTGGATGCCCATTTTCAGGCAAGGCCCTTCAGGTCCCTCAACCATATTTCACTCAGTCTGGAGACTGAAGTCTTCTCCTTTACTCACATTTTGCTTGGACAACAGAGTCAAAGGGTGACCACCATGTGGTGGTCAGAATACAATGTCTAGCTTTCCTGCCGCAGGCTATGGCGCAGTGTGAAATAAACAGTAAATTATTGTGTGTTTATCCATCCACCCAGGTTAGATGGATAATTTACATCACCATGACAGCTGCACCAAATCTTATTCCCTTAAAAAGTATCATGTAAAAACACAAAGATTAAACACATGAATGTAAATGCTTCCAAAAAGCCAGTTCAGCATGAGGTCAAGCCTACTGCTTTAACCAGCGCATTGCTGTAGGTGTGCAAAGTAAGGCACCTTCCACACAGGCCCTGGGGAATGGCAAGCTGCAGCACACGAACACTGCTCGTGTTCTCATCTGTTGCCTGCATGATGTAAGGTAAGAATTAGGTGAGCCTAGAAAAGTTGAGAATGGAAAACTAAGAGAGAGTAGTTATAGGGGAGATGCTCAAAGTTGTAAAAAGCTGAACACTTGGGTTCACTTACTGACTTGAAAAGTTTCTCCCACAGCAATGGTACAAGCAAAGGTAGCAGAATCGAACAGCCTTGTACTGAAACTGAAGTATATTTAAACTGAAATGTCTGCAAATATTATTATCACAATCTGAAAATAGAAAAATAACGTATTTTAGGAAGTAAATGATCAAAGTGTTAAGATGGCAGACGGATAGCCCTAGATGCTGTGCTGTCCTGGAAAACATAGATCCTGACACCTGACTTACCCATTCCTTCAGGCAAAGCCATCCCAAGGCCTCTAGGATGTAGAGATATGGACCACTGAGTTAAAGCTGTACCTGAAGCAAGTCAAACTACCCTCTACCAGCTGGCTGTGCAGAAGAGCCCAGAAGGGAGGGCTGCACAGCCAGCCTTAATGGGCCACACAGCTGGCCTGGGAGTCTGGCAGGGGCACAATGGGGTCCCTTTGACCAGGGTCCTGTGAGGCTCAGGCTGCTCTTTCCAAGTAGCCAGCACACAGCAAACCTTGGGCTGCACTGAAGCGTGTCAATGCCCTCAAGTGTGTCCAGGAATGGATGCTGACAGCAAGACTAGAGCAGAAATGCCCTGTGGGAAAGCTGCTCTGCTCATCAACAGCAGTTTTCATCAACACTGGCTGCAGCCCCGTGACACCCTGAATATGAAACAGTGGGAGAGCCCAGCCCCAGCTGGCATCCACCAAGCCAGATCTTCTGTAGAGAGGATCCTGACTGAGCAAGGCTCTTTTCATGCAGCAACAAAAAGACAGTGGCAATCTCAGAGTACTTTAAAATAAGGACCTGGAGTAAACAAAGCACAGGACTTGGTAAGAATACAGAACAGATGCAGTGAAAGAGGCATCTAAGATCAGTTCTCCCGTATCAAACTCTACACAAGCTCTTAAATCAGGGTGAAGGATTATCAGAAGTACATGTATATATATATATACATATACACCATGTAAAAGTTCCATTTTTGCTGAGGAAAAGCCAAAAGATCAGCTTCCTGCATCCCATGCCAAGGTCTGTACAAGCACAAATGAGAGCGAGTGGTCCCCAGCTCTCCAAGCCAGCAAAACTACTTTAAAACAAAACCTGAATCATTTGCAGGGATCCGAAACCAAACCCTCGACACAATGAAAAGATGATGTGATTCGCTTTTTGAGACACAAACTACTCTCTAGTCTCACCTTGTAAAACCTGGGCTGTACATGTGACCCCCCCAGCTTTAAACTGGGGTCAAGTATTTAATGGAAATAACTCTTCCTTGTACAGGCTCTTGCAGCACACCACGGAAACAATATTTTGGGAGAGTGCAGATGCTGGTGCTAAAAAGTTCTTTAAAATTCAGGCTGGGAACAGTCTGCCTTCTAACGCCCTGAAGAGTAGGAAAACAGGATCGATCCTTTTTCCTTCTTTCACAGGGTGGAAAGGAGAGGATGGGGGAAGAGTTTTTTCTGTGTTCAAGTTTGCAGGAGGATTTTTTTTGCAAGTCTGCTTTGTACCGCCCGCATGAAACAACCGGCGGTAACCTCGTTCCTCTGATTTCACCCCTTTGGCGATAGATTTATCTAACACAACGCCACTCTTCTTTCACGGAAACTTCTTCCACGGCAGATGGGGAAGGCAGAGAGGGATTTACAATCTCTGCGAGCCAAGTGCACGAAGACGAGAGAACAAAACAACTAACTGCGTGCGCCAGGAAGAGCTACCGGTGACCAGGAGTCACACCGATGGGGAGGGAGGGGAGAGCACGACGGTCACTGCACACCCGCGGGCAACACATACACAATGCACAGCTCGAGCGGTGCTCACACACCTTGCGCGCACTTGTGCCCTGCACATACACACTATGGTGCCTTGCAAGCCCGATCCCGCAACGGGGACCCCTAGCCTGCCCCACCCCCATCCCCCCTTCGCTCCCGCCCCACGGCTCACCTCCCCTGCGCGACGGCGGGGGGCCCGGCGGGGCCCGGCCATCAGCACCCCATGATGGGGCGACGGCGGCGGGGCTCCTCCGCGGCGCTTCAGCACCGTGCGGGCCCCATGTCCGGGGCGGCGGCGGCGGCGGCCGGCGGGCTCATGTCGCCATGGCGGGGCCGCGGCGACGGGGGGAGGAAGAGAGAGGCGGGCCGCCGCCGCCGCCACCGCGCGGGAGGGGAAGGGAAAGGGGGTTAAAATAAAACAAAATCAAAATTAAAAGGGAAGGGGGGGGAGGGGGGGGAAGCGAGAGGCAGCCCCCAGCCAGCCGCTTCCCGAGGGAGCAGGGGAAGGAAAGAAGGGCCGGCGAGACCGCCTACCCTCAGCCCATCCCCGCCTCCCGCCTTCAACACCACTGGGCGGGAGGGTGGCGCCCGATGCCGCTGCTCTCCGTTCGGAATCCCAAAGTCCCCATGCACTGTTCTCCGCCGTCCGCGGACGGGGAGAGGGGGCGGGAGGAAAGCGGAGGGGGGACTTTCTTCTTTAGGACCGTCCGGCGGAAGGATCACGCGGAGGTAGTGGCGGAAGGATCAGGCGGAGGTAGTACCGCAAGAAGCTGTGCCCCTGTCCGCCTGCGCGGCTGGGGAATCGGTTGCGGTACACGTACGGTGCTGAGAAGGTTCCACGGGGGAGATTCCAGTGGCTCCCAAGCCCCGAGCGCCAGTGTGGTGGGGCCGTGCCGGGCTGGTGGCCGCTGTCATTGCCGGGCTCGAAAGCCCTTTACCCTGCTAGCGGGAGTTGAGGGCTCGGGACAGCCGTCTGACCCTTCTAGCAGCCCCTTATCGAGGGAGGCTTAAATTCGCCCCCCTCAGTGACACTGGCAGCAGGCAGGTGAAAGCTTGAAGGTTTCATTTAAAACACTTTTAAGCAAAGGCTTTTGTTTCCAGACATCTTGTGCGGACGCGCAGTGAAGGGTCAAGTTCTCGCTGCTTTTATGTCAGTACCGCGTCTCCCGACCTGTGTTTGCTAGGAAACAGCTTCCTGTCGCCTCTAGAGTTGCCTTATTTAGCACTGTGCAAGATGTAAACAGGAATTTACCCTTGCTTTGTTTAATTAGTCTTTTCCCCAGCACAAAGGCCTGCAGGAGGGATTGATTCACCATCTTTTTTCTTCTCCTTTCTAGAGGGCACACTGTCAGTTCCACTGACACAGATGGCCTTAAGTACCAGGGAAACCGAGATGTCTTCTCAAAGCTCCATTTATTCCTTTTGTTCTCTCACCTTAAGAACTGGACAGCTAAACTTGTGAGCGTTCAAATCTTTTGTAATATAAGGTTGTTTGTTGTTTTTTTTTTAATCTTTTCTTTCCCGGAAGGAGATGGGGGTGTGTTATAATGCTGTGCAGTAAAGACCAGGAACAGAACAAATGCTTTGCATGAAAATCCTGGCACTGCGAAGATGAGTGGCAAAACCTTGCTATACCACCAGAGGTTGAAATTAACAGATAAAAGAGGTTCAGAGCAAAGGCAACTCATTTTCTTTAAACTCGTTCCAGTATCTGTAGTTATTAGCTGTTCAGACAGCACACAAAGGAGGATTTCCTCTAGAGATAATAAGCATGGTGACATAAATCAAGCATAGAGAGAGCATAGATTTTTTTTTTTCTATTTATTTCCTGACAAATTAACTCTGAACCAGTCTGCTAAAATTTCATGTGCCATAAGCTTTTTTAACCCTTTCTCTCATTAATTCTCAGGCCACACGTATAACACTTAAAGGAAAAGCTATTTTTCTGCAGCAACCAAACTCCCCTATGCATAGGGTGAACTGCTTTTCGAATCTGAGCTTGTGGTGTGCTGCTCCCTTCAATTTCTCTTCCTTTTTATCTTGAAATAGGATATGTCTTTTAGAACTAAGAAATTGCAAAGAAGGGCAAGTCCCACTGGAATTTTATCTAGCTTTCACAGTGTCATTCTAATTCTGCTGGGTCTCGTGTTTAAGTAAGTCTGTAAAGTTGTTGAGGTTTTCCAAAATCGGTTCTCCCCACTGGTCGTTTGTGGCAGTGACCAATGAAGGTAATTGAGCTGATGGAATTAGCTGGGAAATTCTTGCTGGAGGTCTCACTAGTGCTGTCCCAAGACTGTTCCGCTCCCGCAGTTGCAGCACTTCTTGTGTATTCTGTTTGCTGGAGGGATTTCCATCAGGGCCCTTCCCAGAACATTCCACATGTCAGCGCTGGGAGCCTGAGGCAGTGCAGCACATCCTCGGACCAGTAGACTGTGGAACTGATGGCTTGGCAGTAACCCCTAGTGCTAACATACTGCAACAGAGTTCCTTTTATTCACCTTGTGCTGAACATGCCCTCAGCTGGATGGGTACGATTACAGTCCTTTGTCCTCTGTAACAGTAGGAAGGGACAGTTGGGGCGGCACCCAGCTAAATTGAAAGAGGCATGATAAACTAGTCAGCTACTGGATGGATACTCCTCCTCAAGGAAATCCTGGGGGCTGAGGAGCAAGTCACCTGGCACAGGCGAGACCTCAGAGCAGGTTGCCCTAGCAGGGTGGTCAGCAGGAGGCAAGGTCTCCCAGGACCACCTCAGGCCTCTGTAAGGAGGTGGCCTAGGTCTGGGAATGACTTTCCAGTGGTCAACGTAGCAGCACAGTTGTACGTATGCTGAGAAGACACCACATGTGCTGAGCAAGCAATATGCTTTGGTAGCAGGGAGAAGCCCCTGTTCATCCTGGGGGGAAAGGGGGTGGGGGAGGGTGTGGAATGAAGCATTATCTATTTTAAAGAGACTTGACAGGACAACTGTTGTCACAGACAGCAGGTACAGTGGACTCACGGTCCAGCTGTGCAGCAGCAATATGGGTTGCTGTGGTTACAGCAAAATGAAACATGTCCCAGCCTGGCTCCCAGTACAGTGTGAAAGCATGCAGTTGGCCACTGCCTTAACACAGGCTGGGCTCTAGAGAAGTGGCAGTCCAGTAAATATTAGACCAGAGACAGATCCACATTAGTGGAAACAAGAAAATCCCACATGCAAGGCATGTGTAGTACCTGTGTCTCAGCTTATGCAATGCCTGATTTTTCTACCGATGAGTGGAGGGAAAGAAGAGATGCTACAGGATTCACAGCCAAATCCCAGGATGTTGAAAAGGGAAGGACATGGATCTTTGCAGCAGACATTTCTGTTTGTGCTGTTCAAACACCCTTCAGAGGGAAAAACAGATGCTCTTGTGGTTTGGCTCTGTGTTCTGCTTTGGAGACCTAAGTGCTATTCACTGTGTGACTTTTGACCAGTCAGTTAAACCCACAGATGCAAAGGTGAATACTAATTTTCATACCCACCCAACTTCTGTGTACACGAAGACCAGCACAGGAAAGCAGGCTCAATGAGTTCACGTAGGTATGTAGGCAGCAACTTCAAAACAAGGATAAATTTACCCTTGTGTCAGGTTGGTTGTGGGGCTAAATTAAAACATTTTGTAAAGCATTTGAAATCCTGAGGGGCTAGAGACATGCAAATCTTTAATAATAATGCTGTTTGGCTTCAGCTTGTCGAGGATAGTGTAGTGTGGCAGAGTAAGTCTTTGTTACTCCTGTGTTTGTGCTTTGACTCCAACCATTATAGTATGTAGCTTGTCTACATTTATTGCTAACCTCGGATCTTTAAAATAGCAAGCAAGTTTTGACCAGTCCAGAAAAGGCAATGTTGATGTTGGTTTAAAGAATAAACAAAATAAAATGTTAAAAATAAATTCAAAACTGATCTCCGGCGTAAAATTCAGTGGGCAGCAGAGTTCTCATCAGAAGTCATGTTCATCATGAAAGAGGAAGGGCCTGAAGCATCATCCATGGGCAGGCTGAGCTTGGGCTGCAGATAGAGGAAACCCTCACAGAAGTATCTGAGTGCTCATGAAAGCAATGAGAAGAGAGATGTCTGCTGATAGCACTGAAAAAAATACCCTAATGAGGCTTACTCAGGGCTTGGAAAGACTTCCCTTCTTTGAGGGAACTCCTTGTTTCTGCAAACAAGGATACACTCTGTTTTCTTTTTCTAGAGGCACATTTTGCAAAACACTGTTGTGGAACACTGGGAAGACCAGCAGAAGGAAATAAGGAAAACCCTAAAAAAAACCCCAGTTGATGCTGAAATTACCTGACAAGGCTTTGCACAGCTTTCTGGGAGTAAGTGTGCATCAAATAAAAATCATCAGCATATCAGAACTCTCAAAGAGAAATTAAATGGGTTTGAACTTAAGACCTTTAAGTTCAAACTTAAACAGGAGAGATTCAGCTTAGATATAAGGAATAAATTCTTCCCTGTGAGAGTGGTGAGGCCCTGGCACAGGTTGCCCAGAGGAGCTGTGGCTGCCCAGAAAGCAGTGTTCAAGGCCAGGTTGGACAGGGCTTAGAGAAGCCTGGTCTAGTGGAAGGTGTCCCTGCCTGCTGCAGGGAGTTGGAATTAGATGAGCTTTAAGGTCCCTTCCAACCCAAACTAGTCTGGGATTCTATGATTGAACTGTCTTTGGCCTTTGTGAAAACTGAACTGTCCAAAATCACTCATTATTTTTGCAAGTCTTACCCTTTCTGTGCCATAAATCAATCAATATAATGATAATTTTCCAAATAGAGTGAAAGTCAGTACATATAAATGGTAAGACTGTTCTACCTTTTAAGTACATTAGCTATGCTTGCTCTTACTGGCATGAAGAATTGACCTTTGAAAAAAAAATTAAAATCTACTGTTCCTGAAATATGTGGTAAAGGAAAAAAAGAAACTAGATGCAGGCTTCTTAAATTCTTTCAGCTTCAAATGTAGATTTCCACTGCAGCAGGACAGACCATCCCTGGCTTCAGTTTCACAAGCAGAATTCAGCTGTTCCATGCATGAAACTGAACCTAAATTGTTGTCCTGGCATGGAAGAAGAAGAGGCATCTGGCTGGTCAGACAGCCTAAGCAAGCGCCCTTTCGAAAGTACTCTGCCTTGGTTTACTTTTTCCAAAACAGGGGAGGAAAAAAGCAACATAAATTCTCTGTCCCAATACTTGTCAGCTTTTGGAAAAAAAAACAAAACAAAACCAAACAAACCAACCAATGAAACAGCTTGCACCCAAAGTGTCTGAGATACCTAAACCCATTTTTTAATAAAAAAGATAACAGAGACAGCAGCCATGGCTACGTATAGCCTGCACAGTCAACACATTGTGTAATTGTGCAATCTGTTCTGCCTCTTTTAAATCAATTGTCAGTTTTAGTGCTCTCCCTTATCAGAAGTTATCACCTGTCATGCAGGGTATGTAGCCAGCTGGTTTTGATTGCAGGTCCGCAGACTGTGTGTTAAAAGAAGTCTGTTGACAGCAGAAATCATTGTAAACTGAATCACAGGAATGCCAGATCCAGTTTAACATCTCCATGGCCTCTTCGGACTTCATAGCTGTTACCACACTGCCTTCTGTCAGTCTCTCACAACTCCTTCCTAACAGCAGGAATCGAAATTACTTACTAGGAAAACAAACCCTTGTATCTGAGCTGAAGAAGATTCCCTTACTATCTGTTCCCACCATAGAGCTTCTTGAAACACCAAGACATGTTTCTGCTTTCAACCAGAACAGCGAAATACATGCTTATGTTTAGCAAATGAAGTACCTCTTTAACAGTTGGTGATTAATTCAGAAAGAACAACTGTGTGTGTTATATCAACCTTTTTTACCAGATTTATTTTTACTAAAGAAATGGCCCCACAATGTGATTTTCTTAACCAGAACAGATATTTTCTCTGGTTTGCTTTACTATTTGGAAAACCTTCTCATCTCTTTCAAATCTATTCCATTTAACTTGGTAAAACCTCTAGACTGTGTCACTCACCTTAGGGATCACACCTGTAAATCAGTCCTTCCTCCTAGGAAGTAGATGAATAGTGAGACACGCATGTTGCAAGATGTGAGAAGGCCAACAGCAGACAGGAATGTATCTACAGCATTTCCAATTTTACCTTTGCAGCATTTCCAAATTTACTGTTTTAAAATTTCCAGTTTTACCCATTCACACTTTTAGTATTGGCAGTGTGAATGATATGGTGGAACAGCTAGCTGATAGCAATATTTCATGCACGTTTCTCCTTAATTTTGTTTCATGTCTATGATCTGCAAGCCTGATTCCAAATTACTATAGGAAAAAAAATCCTTTTAGTTTAACTGTCTGCATCCAAACCTTTTTGATCTGCCCTTCCAAAGGATAAAATGGTGCCCAGATTTAAAAAAACTTTTCAATAGTCATAATCTGCCATTAAGTTTAAATCTTGTATAATTTGATTTGAAGAGATGTGTTTTCTTGAATTGCTTTCAGAATTACAGTATAATTTCTTGTGGCCTAATAGTGCTAGAAGCAAAACTGAATGGTAATACATCAGTACAGGAGAAGCAGAAAACTACCTACTGGCACAGTCCAAGATCAATAAGTAAATGGGCATTATAAATGCAAAAGTGTTAACTTAGTCATAAAATTGAAGGATAACTGAAGTTGGAAGGGACCTTCAAAGGTTTTCTAAGCCAAACTTCTTCCCAGAGCAGGGCTTGGTTGAATAGTTTTCCACTTTGCATGTAACAAAGACGATGGATAAGTGCATGGAGATGGACATCAAGGTAAATCAAGGCAAATCAAGGCAACAACAGCTGTGTACTCCTAAGCATACCTGCTCGGCTAAAGCAATTTTATCATGATCTTCAGGAAAGGAGAAACATATAACAGTACCTCAAAAATTCATTCTCTCTGGCTCATTTAATACATTTAATATATTTTTCCCTTCCAGAACTTAGAAATTTATTTCTTTTCTCCATGTGACTACTTAAAGGCAGTTCACATTAATTGTCTGACTGTGGTTATACTTCAGTGTAGACATCATCCTCATCTACAATTGTGTATTTTATGTCCTGAAGAGTATCGGCATTGGAGGAGTTTATAAACATGAAAAATGCATGGTGTTTCTGAGCCACTTGTATACCTGCCTTTTTAAATGGATAATTTGCTGCCCAGTAATATCATGACTTGCACTTTTCTGTGTGGATCAGGATCATGTTTGCTGACGCTCTTTTGGACAGAAGAAAGGTTGTGGATGTTACAGAAGTGACATCCATTCCTGCTAGCTAAAAATCACCTGCCACCTCAACTGGATATATCTGTCTGTTTCCTGCCCTCGCTCCAGATCCTTGCTACTGGGGCCTTGCTTTTCTTCCCCAGAAGGAGATGGGAGATTTGCCACAACTGCAGTGACAGCAGTAGGAGAGCAGACACAGATTAGGCAAGGTGTTGGAGGATTTTCTGCATGCTCTGTAAGTATTTAGGGAACTATGTGATACGTGATCCTACAGATGAGGTTAGGCAGTTTGAACATTTGAGTTAGACCCAGCTATTTCCAGACAGGCAAAGCTACCTTCTGACTGTACATCTAAATTATTTCTTCTGGCAAATAGCAGGACTATGTTAGTGAAATGTGCCTGGATATAGTAGCTTAAGATAGAGCTATGCTGGAAATGTTCCTGCAGCTGTTCCTTGGAAAACATCTGTGCTACTGTGCATGGAAATTTGTACATCTCTGTTCATGCTAGCACAGAGCAATTAATCTTGTGAAAAAAACCTTCCATCTGTGATAATTTGTGACAGTCTGTGTTTGTATAGTCTGATAAAGGGAAGAATATACAGGTTGGCATGATTTCTTATTTACAGATAATGGTTACCCTATGCAAAGCAGAAAAGGCATTGCCCCAGAGAACTCAATTTTAGCAAAAGACATACAAAGAGGGTAACTTAAGAAACCCAGGAAGGGACAGAGAGATGTATTTTGTTCACAGCAAGTTAGATAACTAAGGGATTTTTGATCTCTTGAGGCTTTCAACTAAAGCTTGAGTTATTAGAAGGTGTGCTTACTGAAATGTAATGACCTGTTGTATTCAAGAACTCAGACTCAATCTGAAAAGTGAGTGTGTAAGGAATTCAGAGCAGCATGGTGAGGAATGAGGAGGGGAGATATCTGATTGCTGGCTGGCAATTTGTCACTGACTGCTCCTGAGGCAGGGTTGCTGCTAAGAGCTGATGAGGCATTAAGTTGCACGTGTGACCTGTCATGTCATCTCCCAGCAGCTCAGAATGATCTTTGTGGTACAGAACATCCATACTTGGCCATTTTACCTGTTTTCTTTCATGATAATGATAAATGCATTGCATTGCATGATGAAAAAGCAGAAATCAAGATGGAAGTATCTTCCTGTTTTTGTGTGGATCCTTTCTGCAAAGGATCTTCTAGCCTCCTGGTGTTTAATCCAAATTATATAAAACGGATTTGCACCCTGTTAAATCTGAAAATAAATTTAAAATAACCATTCACAGTCCTCATAACAGAATGCCTCCTAGAAAATCATTTTACTCCACAGCTGCCTGGTTTTACAGTCAGAAAGGTGACTGCTCTTTTTTTCTTGGTTTAACTTTTAATGACTAATTTAAATTCCATTTATGCAAAATCCCTATGATTTTGAAAATGCCTTCTGAAAAATATGCACAACTACCTTTCAGAAATATACTTTAAAAAGCCTTAAGTGCAACATTGCCTAGAATTATCTTGTCAATTAAATAAAAGAACCCACTTGAAATAAGTGACAAAAATATACAGTGGATGAAATGCACCTTCCAGTAACAAATTATTATTAAAGGAGACCTTTAAGCAAACTGCTAGTTATGTGGTCATGCTTAGAAAAGCACAAGGTTATTGAAACATACAGCTTCCTTTCAAGACAATTTAACTTCCACTGAAGGCAAATTATTGCCATAAAAGCACTGAAGCATGTTGCTCAGGCATTTGGTGCAATTCTCTTGGCTTCTAAAAGGTTACCCTCACTGCATGAAGATGTCAGTGGGATCAGAATTGAGTCTACATCTTCAGCTGCCATTGGCAACGCTGCCTGCAACATCTTCCTACAAAAAAAAATACATATTAATCTGATATTATTATCAAAAAAAAAAGATGGGAAGCAGTATTGTAATAGACTTGAAGATGCAATATAAATTTCTAACAGTAGGTATAATGGAAACCAGTGAGACTGAGCCAGCTGACAAAGGAGCTGCAAGAGGACTAATACAGAGGACACCTAAACCCACCCAGCACAGAAATCATTAATAATAATTGTATTCAGTGAGCAAGTTATGAAATGTGTCACAGATTTGGAGCCTTTCCTGGTTCTTTCCTTTTCTCACTGCATGGAGAGTGGAATTTGAATGAGGTGGAGAAACAACAACCTGTGGGCAACAAAACTGCAGTATTCTTGACGTGGCACTGATAAAATCATCCACCAATGCCTTCCCCTTCTCCATGTCTTTCCATGTCTTTCCATGGGGGTTTGCACTGGTGGGGTGTGGTTTCCTCTCTCTCTTCTCATGCTGGAGCCATGTCAAGGCCTGCAAAATGAGATCTGATGATGTTACAGCAGTAGAATACGTTGGACACTGTGCTGGCAGGCTTGGCAGTTAGCTCCTCAACACCACTCAGTCTCTTCAGCTCTGTCTAGAAAAGGGGTCTTCATGAAAACACAGGCAGAGAATCAGGCTCACCAAATTCACTCTCCAGCCATTTCCTCATGCTCTGTCAGTTTTGGGGATTGTGATTTGTCAGTTTTGGGGATATATGTGATTACCGACATACTGTATGTGGGCCTACTCAGGGCCATGAAATAATAGACAGGGGCTTGTTCATGGTGTTATTTCTGGAACAAAATCCTTTTGCATCTGTGAAGATTCTCAGGGAAGACTTGGAATTTCCTTCACAAATCAAGTAATGGAGTTCTTAGCTATATTTTACAAGTTTTATGCTAGCTACTGTACAGGGAGTAATAACATTTTCTAGGAAAGATGTGTTGTCCAGTAGACTTTTTGATCTCTCTCTTCTAGCAACCTCATGTTACAAACCACAAGTTAGGTTTCTCTGTTGTCAGAGGGGAATTTGTTTCTCTGTTGTCAGAGGCATTGAGAAATGCCTTCTGAGACAGTTTAATGTCAAAATTATCTCTGATGAAACCAGATGAAGTGGGTAGGGCTGAGAAGACTGCATTAAAAGAGCATAAATGGGGTGAAAACAGACCAAATATTAATTGAGGCAGTGAAAATGGAGGTATGAAGTAGTCCCCTCAAGCACTTTGCAATGACATTTCATCTCCGCTGGAAGTCTCATGTTGCTCCTTTGGTGGTTTGCTGTCATTTGCCTTCTTTAGAGGAGGAAGTTCTGTCATTTAAGTTAAACAGATGCACTTCCTCTTGTCCCAGGACTTTGATGCAGCTGTGCTGGTAGAGGGACACTTACATTGATGTAAAGATAAAAATATGGTAGCTGCTTCTTTCTTTTTTTTTTTTTTTTTCCAGTAAACAAGGTATGTGTATTGCAGTCTGTCCCAAACTGATGAAGTTTCCATTGATCTGTGTTTGGCTCTTGTCGGCTCAAAATATGTTCTGCTAAGTTTCCTGAGTTTCTTTTTTCTGCACCTTCCCTTCCCAATTTGAACAGCTATTTTAAACTGGAGATGTGGCCACTGAGACAGACACACAGGTGCTGTCATTGCTGACCTTGACATTTGTTCTGTTGCAAATTAACCTTTTCCCTCAACACCAACTTCCTGTTTACATTAACCCTTGATCAACAAGCCTTGTTCTCCTTCTGTCTTTTAGGAAGCATGTCATAAATTGCAATAAATTCATCTGTTTATGGATTCTGAACTTGACCCACTTCCATGAGTACAAGGTGAGAAGTGTGAAATTATACTCCTCCATACTGAGGACAGGCACTGTACCTGTGAGGAACTCTTACGCCTACTCCTACTAGAGGATCAAATGCCACTCTCCTTTAGGGGCCTCTCTCAGGAGAACAAGGTTTAAATTCTGCAGATTTATGAATCATTTCATCTTCCAGATTTGTCCCCTCACAGAGGGCCTGGTGAAGAGAAGCCTCAGCAAAGGTTTCAGTTTGGATAGCTTTTAACATCAGGCACTGGTCCCACTGCTTGAAAAAGGAACACAGTCTGCAAAATATTTCCCAGATACACATGTGTGTGCATATATATATACATACTTACATAGCCTTTCTAATAGGTATATCTCTGTATAAAATCAAAATGTACAAACTAAGGTCATTTTACTTAAAGAACCTACTTTTACTCCCTTCAGTGAAACAGAAAAACCCCAACTGTCAAATCATCCAATTTAATTAACACAGAGATTCCCCCCCCCCCCCCCCCCGTGTGATACCTTTTAAGGAGTTACAAAAGAATAAGCAGCTCTCAAGGGCAAAAGGATCCTAGGGCAAATCTCATTTAATGTGGGCTCTCTTGGTGTTTGATACTTCACCCATATTCTCAAATGAGCTTGAATGATGTTTGAAGAAAATGGTAATTCATGCCATGAGCTGTTGTCTCTTCCATCACTGCAGAAAACAAGGATGTTGGCAAAACCAGACACGTTTTCTTCCCCTAGCATCAGGTGTGGTGTCCCTAATCATCACATAGCAACAGCTTAGTCTTATGGGGAGAGAAGTAGTCACAACTCTCTGACTTCTGCCTCCCACTTTTCAGCACTGCAGCTCTCCTGGTGCTGTTGTCCCCCATGCCAGGATAATGTGATAGCAGCAGGGTACTTGGATTAATTAATGGTTATAAAGCTCGTGGAGCTCTTTGGTTAAACAGTTCAAGGAAACGATTGTTCTAACTGATCCCTGTTGTTCTTACCTGGGTGTCCAGTTGCTGAGTGGGATGGCTGCTTGTGTCTAGAGTGTTAACTGCCACCTGTCCCTTAATCATGAAGGTTTGTAATCCTATTTCAGTTTGGAAATCCACATGCCACAAGGCAAAATTAACGTGTCTAATATCATCACCTGCTGGTCAATACACAGCTTTTACCCATCCATAACTATTCCCAGTGAATTGCTGGGCAGACATGCCAGGACATATTCTGCCAATCGATACTGGAAGACAGTTTAGCAAGGACATATAAAATAATACCTATTTATTTTGATGGCATTGGAATGTCTCACATCACAAGAAATATCTTTTCTTTAGTTTAAAAGTTGTTTTGCAGAGGTTAAGACTTCAGTTATTAGGATCCCAAAATATTTCAGATGGAGTTTCCTCCAGTTTTAATTCCTTTTTTTGCTGCTGTTTCCCATCAGCCTTATGGTTCAGTGTAACTCAGGAATTCCCCTCTCAAAGGCTGTTTGAGTGCTACAGCATCTGTAGCTAAGGAAAGTACAACTGAATTTTCACTTACTGCATCTTTAGGTCCGAAAGAATGTCATGATGGAACTGCTGTTCTGTAAAGCACAGCACACCATCTTCCCTCATTATACTGGAAACACTTCTCATTTTTCTCCCCATGTACACACTTCCCTCAATCACAAATAAATGCCACATTGAAAGAAAATTATTCCCTGTATAAGTAAAAACCCCAAACCCAAACAAACAAAACCAAACCAGATTTTATTTCTAGGCCTTACCACAGCTCCTCCTTTGTCCACAACACTTGATTGTTCTGCCAGGTCCAGACAGCATTGGGAGCAGACTCATTTTCCCTGTTTATAATCCCAAAGCTGATAATGCAGTGCTTACAGCAAGGATCCCTGGGCTTTGGGGGTTTGCTTTTTCCTTGATCCTCCTCAGCTCTTTGCAAAAACTCAGTGAATTGCACACGAGCAAAGATGCAGCAGGGATCCTTCTCTCCTAAATGTTGTAAATGAGCCCTTCTGTTGCAAGATTGTTGAGTCCATGCTCTTATAACAGATTTCACCTCCTCAAACTATATGAATGATATTTTTGAAGTATTCTATTAGGTTGAAATCAGTAAAAGGAAAGGAATGTCTGTGTTGATGTAGAAATCTGCATTGACATTTTTAGCATTGTGCTGTGTGTGTTTACAAAATGAACCTTTTTTTGCCTTTTAGGTAAACTGAAACAAATGTTCCACTATGTGGCTCAATACAGCAGTCAGAGGAGGAAGAACATCCATACTCCACCTCTGGGATGGCAAGATACACTTCAGAATGTGGAAGGAAAAAAAACAGAGAGACTGGAGCTCTAAGCCTCATACTGTGAACATCACCCAGATGATGCTGTGGCAAGGAATCAATTTGAAGTCAGCTCCATTAACAGTAATCGTTGTTCAGACTGCAGCAGATCCACACCTTGTACTTCAGGGCCTAAAACTACTTTTATAAAAAAAAAAAAATAAATAAAAAAATTGGTTGGCATGCCAGTTCATCTCCCTCACGGGGATGCTGTGTTTAAGGGGGCTCAGATACATCTGATATATCACAGCCCAGCTACAGGACTGCTGGCCTGTGTCAGGAATATCCCAAGGAATAGTTGTGCTTATTTATGGGAATTTAAGAGCGCTTGTCATCAAAATAAACTTCAGGAAATTGTTGGCTGTTATCACTGGCATTGCAGACAGGAACCGTGCCTAGAAATAGAGACTGGCATAGCAACATTGCTGACTGTTTTGTAGAGAAGGCGGCTTATTTTTCCAGGCCACAACATTTAATAAACATTTTCTGTTTATTGAAACTGCAGAACCTCATTAGATCAAACTGAATGCTAATCTGCTTGAGTCGCCATCACAGACTTTTGTCTCCAGTGTATACACATCACGAGTCTCTGTGGTTTCATTAGTTTTGTCCTGTAACATTTGTTCCTTTGTGTTTGTCCACAGAAAACAGATCATGGAATGCATTGAAACAGCCACGCAAATCCTCCAGACGATGATTTATTTTGCGAGATCCTGTTTTATCTCATCGTTAGGGCCTTGGTAAGCTTGAGAAGCCCTCTGATACAGCCTCCGACTGGTTGATAGGCACAGCTGCCAGCCATTCGCCTAGGAGCTTTTACCTGAAGCGTCAGACCTTGGACTCACACTCCACACGAACGGACTGCAATTACAGAGAAGCTTAGAAGCAAATATCCTAAACACTACGGAAACACCAGACTGTAAATAAAACTCTTGGCTTGAAGGAGAGCTTTTAAATCCAGACAGGGTTTTTGAACCTTATAGAAACAGAATGGGAAGTGTCCCGCAGAGACACACCCAGGAGCAGAGCTACCTCAGGTCAACTCCCCCAGCCCCCGGGACAGCAGCTCGTTTTGCCGTTATCCTTTATTACAGCGCAGGGGAGCCGTGCGGACGGCCGGGAGGTGTTTGACGGCGGCTCCTCTGGCAGACGGCCCACCGGCGGACATCGCAGAGGCGCCAGGCTTCAGTCGGGCCCCGGCCGTTACACACACCCCTCACACCACCTCCCAACCCCCCAGCCCTGCTCTGTCAGGGTCGCTAAGGCCCGGAGCTGTAGGCGGGGCAGAGCCGACCAATCCGAAGAGACTCAACCTCAGTCGGCTGCCAATCGCGGCCGGTAAACAACACACCCCGGGCGGGTGGGAAAGGGGCGGGGCGAAGCCGCTCTGCCGGCCAATCAGCGACAGGGCATCCCGCGGACCAATCAGAACGGGGAAGGGTTTGGGCGGACTTTTTAAAACGGGTGCCGCGCTCAGTCCCTTTAAAGGCGTGATATGTTTATCTCTTTCTTCCTCCGCCGAGATTTAGCACTCCCACTGGAGGAGGGCCTTCTCGCTTCGCTTCTCATGGAGAGGGAGGGCTGCTGGATATTTCCGATGTTCTCTGGTCCTCCGGGTCCTCTCTGAGCAAGCCTAGGGGGAGAGGCTGCGAGCGGACTATTTTACTTCCTGGCGGCGGCTCACTTGGGCGGGCCTCTCAGAGAGCGCTCCGCGCGGGGCCATCTGCGAGCCGCCAGGACAAAAACAAGGGGGCGGGGTCCCGCCTCCTCCATTTTGATGCGGGGTTGGGGCAGTGGTTGTGGATAGGGGATGGTGTTGTTCCCTTGGGAAGCGTCGTGACTCCGCTTGGATGCGGGGCCAGCGGCGGGGACGACCCGAGTCGGTGCGGTGACGGGAGCCGGGCTCGCCTCCCCCTCCCGGCAGCGGAGGAAGCCAGCCGTGAGGGCCGCGGGGAGGGCCCGGTGCCCTCTTACCACCGCCCCGGGTGAGTGTGGCGGTAGGGCCGGGCTGGTCCTTTTGTTCGTCTCCCCGCTGCTGTGGGCCTCCCCGGTGGGGAGGCTCCCTTTGGCGGGGGAGAGTGGGGAGGTGGGCTACCAGCTGTTGACGACAGCTGTTGTCTGCCGTGAAGGTAAAGGATCCGGAGGCGGGGGAGAAGATGAGCAGAGAGGCGCTGTGGCTTTTCAAGCAGCTGAACCTCCACCTGGAGCAGGAGAGGCGGTTTCAGCCTCGAGAGAAGGGGCTCAGCCTCATCGAGTGCGCTGCCGAGGTGAGGGGTGGGGTGAGGAGCTGGGCAGGGTGGGTGGAGGCAGCCTCCTCAGGGCAGGAAATATGTGTTTTAAATAAATAAACTCTGAGCTACAAGAGAGGCATGCGTTAACTTGGATAAGTTAATTCTATAAATGCCACTTGCCTTTTAATTGTCTTAATCTGGGGTTATTAACATAGACTACATCATCAGAAAACTCTGACTTGAAAGGCAAGCAAGATATTTAGGTATTTAACATTTATTGATAAATTTTCAAGTGGAAGCCACAGAAATGTGTTATTTTCATTTCGGGAGCTTTTTATACCACTGTGTTGTACCACTGCAGGAAAGGTGAGATGTCAAGTAGGGAACTTGGAAATGGTGAAGTAACTGGCTTTTCATTAGCAAGATCTAGGGAAACGAACCTAAAAAAAGCTCAGGTACTCAGAAGCAGAAAATAAAAGTATAGATACTTCCACATTAATGACCAGAGTTCCTTACTGAGTTTAGGGAAGGCTCACATTCCTGCAGATGCTTGAGTGTTTTTTGGAAATGTTTAACAAAGTAAGTCTCTGAAATCAGTCTTCGTGTTTGTTTTGAAAGCAGATCTTTACTTGTTTAAATGTTGACATGCAAGCAGAGAGGAGAATAAGCTGAGTTTTGTCATCTATTTCCATAAGGTCAGGACTCACTGTGGATTCATGCACTTGGTAACTGTTGTCTTAGAATAACAAATGCATACTTGGAAATGTGATTTTGCTGGGTTTTGCACTCTTGAGACTTAAGACGTGGCTGAAATCCTTATAACTGGATGTGTTTTAAGTCTCAAATATCTAAGTTTAAGAGAAATTAGGTATTTAAGGATGGAAGAATTGCATCTGTTTGATCTAAATAAGAGATGGCTTAGGGAGTGAGTGGTCGCAGTCATCACTGCTGCAACCAAGTAATTTTGACTTGGCTTTTCTTGTGACAGAATGAAAATACTCTGTGTCCGAGACAAAGGAATGCCAAGGTGGAAGATCTTTGGAGTTTGACCAACTTCTTTGGTTTTGCAACTGAAACGTTTGTTTTGGCTGTGAATATTCTGGATAGATTCTTGGCTCTTATGAAGGTATTGTGGGGGGAGAGGACCTGATACAGTGTCAGCTGGGAGGGAGTATGTGAGCTTCCTGTGAACTTCCTGATCTGACAAGAAGGGCAGGGTTGTGATCTAGGATGCAACTGTGGCTGTTCGCACATTCTGTGCTAGCAACATTACTGAAGTCCTCCTTTGGAAAACCTGATGTTGAGTACTGTTCTTACCAACAAAGGCAAATAGTAGCATTGTTTATTTCCTCTGTAGCTTTCACCATGTAAATGTAGAAGTCTAAGCAAGGAGGAACTAAGAAGGAGCAAAACCATTTGTGTTACAGACTGTTTCTAGGGACTGTGTTGAAGCTTAGCTTAGGACTGGAAATAATGCCGAATGATCATTCCATGGATGTTTTTGTGCTGCTCTATGGCAGATAGCTTGAACCTAAACTGGTTCCCCATTATGAAATTGGCAGAAAAAACAAAGTTGAATCAGTTCTTTGGTCTGACTGAGGTTACACAAAACAGTATGCTGGTATATGGGGGAGAACAGTAGAGGTAGGAACGAATCCTTGGAGATGGGACTGCCTGGAACAGGCTCAGGCTGGGTTTGTATTGGCTTTAAGTGAGGGTGAGTGAGCACTGCCGTTTGGAGAAGCCAGGTATTACAGTTCTCACTGCAGTCTATTCAATGTATAGTGCTGTGGAACAATTCCAGTTGAGGGTTCTCTGCTGTCGAACTCGTTTCCTCTGACATAGCTATGTCATATTGATACTCCTTTATTTGCTCCGTCAGCTGTGTTTGGCTGAAACTGAAGTGATGAAACTAGTTATGAGTAGGCAAGGTCTGTGAGTTGGCTTACATCAGGTCTAGCTGAGATAAGCGCATCTTTCTATTGAACTTTGAATGTACAAAACAGCTCACCTATGCTGGGTGATCTGTTGATATTGCTGTTAGATAAGCGTGGTGTTTAAGGGGGGGAGGTATTCATAGTGCTTCCTCTTATTTTTAGGTGAAACCAAAGCATTTATCTTGCATTGGAGTTTGTTGTTTCCAGCTGGCTGCCCGAGTAGTCGAAGAGGAATGCAATATTCCATCTGCTCATGAGATCATCCGGATCAGTCAATGTAAATGCACTGTGTCTGACCTGAAACGGATGGAAAAGATAATTTCAGAAAAGTTGCACTTTGAATTTAAAGCTACTACTGCCTTAACCTTCTTGCACTTGTACCATACTATTGTACTCTGTCATACCTCAGAAAGGTGAGTTGAGTTGCACACTGGTGGTGGTCTGTAAGTTTGCGAAGCTCTTTTTCACTGCCTCTTAAATGCTATGGCCTTGGCTGTAGTGGAGGCAGCTCCTTAGTTTTTGCTTCCTGACAAGTAAATGCTTGTTGACACACATGCTGCTTCTCTTGGGTGTTTTACAGGAAAGAAGTATTGAATCTCGACAAATTGGAAGCACAGCTAAAAGCTTGCAACTGTCGTCTAGTCTTTTCTAAAGCAAAAGTAAGTGGAAGTAGCTTTCTTTGACTTTTGAGTAGGTTTTGATTCATATTAGGTTGAATGTTGGTTTTTTATGTGTTTTTTTTTTTTTGTCCTTCTAGCCATCTGTCTTGGCCTTGTGCCTTCTCACTCTAGAAGTTCAGACTCTCAAATCTGTTGAGCTGTTTGAGATCCTTCTGCGTGTTCAAAAGCATTCTAAGGTAAATATTTCCCATGGATTGTTTTTGCAGTTTTTGGGACTGGTGTGATTAATGATGTATGATGTTACATTAAAGGGACCCTTACTGTCAGTGTGCAGTCTTTACAGGTACTGTTTGGCACCAGCTGAAATAAGCAATGAAATGGGTCTTTAAGCATCTGTGCAATTCTTGTAACTAACATGTTTTCATTGGTAGAATGCCAAATGCAACACACCCCCCCCACACCCCCCCCCGCTTAGAGAATGAAGTCAGGTAGTCATTTTGTACTGGAACATCTTGTCAGCTGCCTAGCAAGCAGAAAGGTTATGGTTTAAAAAAAATAGCTTAAATATATAAACTCAGAAGAAATGCTGACTTAATGCTTACACAGGCTTTAACAAGAAACTGATTAACTTGTACAGTTCTAGCTGTTCATTGTAAAGAAACTTCAAATAGGTTTGTAGGACTACAGTGACTGCTGGGCTGTATAACTAAT